CGCAAAAAAACAAAATTTAAATGTAGTACATGTAATATAAAATTATGCGTAACTAAGCAGAGAAATTGCTTTGCTGAATTCCATGTCAAATTTTTTACAATTTAAAAATAAAGACTGTCTATGGGTTTATAGTTTAGTTACTTAGATCTGTGTACTACATACTGGCTAGTGCTGACAATCAGCGCCGTGAACTGCGTCGACAGCGTTAAGCTGTGCGCTAGACATTTGGCGCTGTGCGAACGAATATTTCTTTTTATTGTAGGTATTAGTATTTTGCTGGAAACACTTAAATAAACCTTCTGTTTTTAAAAGGTTTTCTTTTTATTTGATTTGTTAAATTATTTTAAAGTCCGGAGAATACAGATTTAAACAAACGTTTCAATAACACTTATTTAAGTATTGCCATATATTAAAAAATATTTATCCTATGCATACCCTCTTTTTTTTGTTATTATTATTTTGGACAAAGTACAAAATCTTCCAAATGCAGGAAGCATAGCACAAAAAAGAGGAAAGTGCAGCAGTGCAAAATTATCAGACAGGTTCTAATCAACTTGGGTAGGACGAGGATACAATATGCCATAATCTATTTCTCACTCACCCTTGACTTCTGTACACAGTGCTTCTAAAAATATTAGATCGAGTGACAGTGAGTCACAAAACACAGATCTTACAAACTTGCCCTTCGTTTTTTAACTGCGTTCTAAATAATTTTTGATAGTTGATTCAATTATTATAAAAAAAATATTTGCTTTTAATTTCGAGGCTGTCTGTACTTGTATAAATAAGATCACAGAGACCACGATTGCGTTTTTCAAATGGATCGTAAAATTAAACGATTTTAAGCTACATAAACTTATCTGACTTTAAAAAACTGAAATGAAATGAAATACGTTTATTCGACATAAAACATGCACGCCAGGAAAAAAACTTATACATTATGACATATAACAATAAAAAAGTTTAAAAACTGACATACATATAAAGAAAAAAAAAGATAATAGGTAAACTATAAAACTAAAACTAAAACAAGCCAATAATACAGGTGCAACATACTGCACGGTGTTGGCGGACATGCCCAATCCGAACGGGTCACCAACTCAGCATAAAGCTGGGCACAATGAGCACCCAACACTGATTTTTAGTTAGCACCCCTGCAGTGACGCACGGACGAGAGCAACACGCGTTTGCATATATGCGGATTACAAGTATTGTAATGCGCATATATGCAAAAACTTCATTTTAATTTTATGGGTTCTAGGTGAATAGTTCTGTTCAGATGAAGAAGAGATATATTATGTATATTAAAAATATTACCAGATGAAGAAGAGACAGATAGTAAAAATATTACCAAAATATAATTAAAATAGTGTACCTACTGTTAAATAAATAATCATCAAATTAAAAAAAAACCACAGATTATATTATATGCAAAAAGAAACTGCCAAAAATAATTATGTCAATATATGAACGTGCTATAATTTAAGTGTGCTGTGGGGTATTTGTAAAATAAAATAAAACACCATGAAATCGCAATGTCCATCTTGGAAGTCGCGGGTAATCAGGGTGCCTGATTTCATGCTCATTTGCAACGCGTACCACCACTACGATTATAATGCGTTTCTATTGAAGGAAACAAACCGGGGTTGTGTGCCGTAATATAAAGCTATAATAATAATAATCATTCACGTACAAATCCCGCGGTGATACTCGAGCTGTGACGGTGAGTCTTCAATTTATTAAATAATATAATAATTATTAATTATGTGATATAATAATTGTGGAGTTGTGTGTGTAATGTGTGGATAGTTCATGTCAATGTGTGATTTGATATGGTAAATTTGGGGCAATTGTAATAATTAATACTAGAAATAAACAAGTCAGATAAAAGACAAGTCCGCGTTTATTTCAGCGCTGCTGATTTGGGAAGTAAGCTCAAACTCCTTGAGGGTTTGTCTAAAAGTATCGTATGGTTTGTTTTTTAAAACTTACATACCCACTTAATGTGGTATCTATACATTGTAGGTCCCGAGCGTACGGCGTATCGCGTGTCGCGCGCCTCAAGGAGTCATCAGACCACCACAGATGGGGCCCAATAGGGCTGATCCCGATTCGGAGCCGCGGAGAACTTAACGGGTTACCGGGGCTCTGGCTCGAAGTGCAGGAGTAGGAAAGTGGTGGTTTTTAGTCAGTAAGAGTCTGACACTTCCTCCCGCCTCACCCAGGCGAGAAGTCATTCAATGATTTTCCCCCTTAAAAAAAATGCATGGTTCAATCAACAATGCTTTTAAAAATACCGACGACGAACTCATGGTGGATTATTCTAAATACCTTAGATAAGGGTACCCTATGCATAGCTTCAGTTATGAAGAAACGAATAATTGAATGGTGAGACAAGCCGTAAATTGTGTTATAATACTAGGGTATACCGTGAATAGATTGTAGCTTACAAATAAAGTACCGAGTCTCCAAATTAACGTCGAAAAAACTAAAGAATAGGAGTACCTAGACACACTATGACAAATGCTGGTTCATAAGTACTTACACGATAGATATATGTATTAGTATTGTGTTCTCCGTCTTCAAAAGCTATCCCAGACGACGCGACGTCGGTCGTCTGGCACTGAACCAAAACATGACCATGTGTTTCACCTGTCCGAAAAAAAAAGGTCCACAAAATATGCCTAATAACCAGTAAAAAGTTGTATCTAACGATCCCATAAAAGGACTGTTTACAATAATTACTATTCTAAACTACTAATTCGGACGCACAAAATTTCTACGTCATTGTTCTAAAAAACACGTGTAGAATATTAGTACGTAAACAGTAACTAAACGCGTTCATAAATGAAAACAAATGACGTACACACGTATAAAAATCATACCTACCTATTCTATTCATATAATGCTGATAAATATTAAAAATAATCACAATACAATAAAGTACTTAGTATTAAAAATAGTTTTCAGTGACAAGACTAAAAATATTTGTGACTACTGCTGCCATCTGTTGGTGAGTAGCAAGAACGATAACTCATCTTTTCGAACTATGTTTTCCGGCGTTGCAAGTTATTCTAATGACTTTCAAAGATGTGTCTAGTCCAATAATCACTTATGTATATTTCCATTATTCCAGGTAGTTTCATAACAACCACAAGAGGTGCGAGGCTACTCTACTTTAACGGTTACACATATTGGCGAGGGACTCAATCGAACACTTGTGGTGTCTGGTACTGTTCATCTAAATCGAACAAATGTCGTGCCTCCGTAAAGTTTTATAGTTCTAAAAAAGGGGTAGTTGCCGAAGGATTTCACAACCACAATAAACCTATCATGGTTAGGAATGAAGACGGCACGTATCAAAGAGTAGCTGCTCCCACGCTGTTTCAGCAGCAGCTCTGCTCCTATTCCGACGCTCCCCCATAGTACATAAGCGAGATGTTTTATAGTTTGAAATTCTTATTATGTTCTTTGTACTTTTTTTTTATAAATTAAATGTAGGTAGGTAAATATCTAAATATTTTTGTAATGAACGTTGTCCGCTAACGAAATAAAATTTATAACTGAATTAGTATACGTATTTAATTAGTAATACCTTTTGTTTAGTAGAAAAACAGAACGAAGACTGATCATATAAAATAGGAAGTTGGCGTTATTACAACAAAAATACCATCGAAATAATGTCAAATGTTACAACTAACGCCATCTCTGTTAGATTATAGAAAGTGTTCATTTTGCACTGTTTTATTTTTGTAATGGTAACCCCATAGAAAAACAAGGAAGAGTAATATAGAGAGGTATGAAGTTTGGTAGGTCAGAAGAACGCTATACTTTATACTGGAATTCTTTGTAACTTACTAAAATATTCCAAAATCAAGGTGTATGTATGCCCAAATGGCTTACTAAGATCGTAAGTATTTTTCACGATTATAAATAATATCAACTTTTTATTTCTACGTAATCCGAAACGTAATCATCAAGCTTCGAGTTGTCAAACAAATCCAAACGTCATTTTGGTTTGACAGTTTTGTTGCGTCATTTCATTTATTTTCACTGTTTTCCCACGTTTATCTTTTAGTTTCTAATTTATAAAGTATTTCTGATATGTTTTATTTAATTTAAACTATATTTTGCAAGCTATACAATAGGCCTTGTGTCATTTATTTTTTATCTTTGGTTAGGTCGTTGGCGACAGCGAACGGTGTAATGTTCAGTTGTTTTGATTCTTCATAAAACAATATTGGTGTAAATAAGCTTATTACTTGTTGAGCTATGATTAATTATGTGAAAACATTGCAGGTGATGACTTTGTGCAGTGCGTGCCTACTAAAAAGGGGCACCAGATATTGTTTAAGGGTTACACATACGTTTTTAAAAGTAGGTTGCAATGTGGTGCCGAGCAGTGGATATGTTCGTTTAGACAGAAAACAGGTTGCATATCTGTCATTAATATGCAAACATACGGCGTCGAAGTGGTCAGAGACTTCCATAATCACAAGAAACCTATGTTCTCAGACTAACTATAATTGTATCTTGTTTCAGTGACAAAGTACAGTATGATTTTCTAATCCGCTAAGTTCTGTGATTGTTTTTTAAATAATTGTTTTAATAATAGTAACAAATTGTTTGTAATAATTAAAAACTTTTGACAAACCTGAAAACTTTATTTTATTCTAAGTATTAATTAATTTATTGTGTATTTATGCAGCATTACGATTCGAATACAGTATGATGTACTCATCACTTTACAACTAGCATTTATTTAGAAGGAAACGAGAAATACTCATATTTATATTGTAAGTTTAAAATGAGAATTAAAGAATTGAATTATAAAATGTTTTGTTTAATTTTCCTTACTATTATATTTGTAAAATTAGCCATTTAGTTAAATTAAGAATATGAACCACTATACCTAAAAATTCTTCAAATTGGTTACAGATGAGCCTGAACAGTTCCCAGAATGGACATCAATATACTTTGTCAAGATATCCGACAATGAGATGAAATGTAATCTTTGTGATATCAATCTTAAAGTCGATGAGAAGTCTATGGAGTTATTAGAACATCTTAAAATTGATCATAAGGACATTTACGATCTTCACAAGGACAACCCGGAGGCTACTGTAGGTTTCCGAATCGAATTCCTGCATTTGAATATGTTAAAAGATGATGGAGACCCTAAGAATGAGCCAGTGATTCTTGGTGAAGTATGTGAAACTACTACGGAGACAATTGAACAGAAAGATGTAGAAATCTCAACAAAAACTGATGATACTACTTTGCCTTTTGTGTTACTTGACCGTAAAAAGAAACCGAGACGTGAGAGTACAGGTTGGTAGCTTTTCTTATTAAAATAGTCAGTTGCTGACAACTGTGTCTAATATTTTCTTCTAATTCAAAGTGACGTTGTATATTGAGATCAAAATGAACAGAATAAGGTGGCAAGACAATTATTATGCAGCATGCTCATTTCTTTAAAAAATTTAGTAGTTTTTTCACACTTTCTTTTCGATTGTGTAATAATAGTCCCCAAATGGTTGCCGGATGGTTGGATTTTTTATAATCGTGAATTAAGAAGTTAAATAATACTCCTTGGAAAAACACCAGGCAAATCTTTTGCTCTAAATTGACCATCACAACATTCCACAATTTATGACTGCCAGATAATAATATTAAAAAACTATCTTTAAAAAATAATTAACTTAACCCTTTATCTATTGTCTACCATAAGTTTCCAGCATACAATATTTTTTTTATCACATTACAGGGCCACGCAAGCGCAGCTGGGTGTGGAAGTACTTTGATAAGCTGAGCAACATTATCTACCGTTGCAAATTGTGTAATGTAGTGCTCTCAATCAAAGGTTGTAATTCCAACAATATGAATAGACATGTCCGCTCCAGACATCCTACGGTCTTCAAGAGTGAGGTAACGAAGAGACAGAAAGGAGATACTATTTTAGTAGACAGCGGTTATGTGCTGACTAGCGAGACAAACACACCATATGCTATTAAAACTGAAGAAATTTATGCCAGCGATCGAGACTTTGAAGAAATTATTACTACAGGTGAGTATTTGTTAAGGTTTTTCTTACATTTACATACATTATAACGTAACATACCATCACGCCTTTTTATCCCGGTAGGCAGAGGTGCTGTTATGTGGGATCTTGGAGACAAAAACTATTATTTCGATTATTGGAATTTTAATAAAAAAATAAAATAAAATACAGAGTTAGAAATAGAAAGTGTCCACATCAAAAACGCTTAAACCGAACTAATTCATACATCGCCGGAAATGCTTACGAGGATTTTCAATTGACGTCAATGCATTAAGTAAAACGAAGTAAACAACTGAAGCTGGCTCAGCGGTTTACTTAGCCTTGGTATAGCAACGTGATGCTGATATAACAGCCCCCCCGATAAGACTGATCATCACAGATGAAGTGATGAGAAAGATACAAAACTAAGATTTTGATATGGACATTACAATAAAAAAAATTAAGAAACCAATAGGTATAGAAATTAAAACTAAACAGTTTACATAACTTACATTTAATACTAAATTAATAAAATAATATAAACTTTATGCCTGTGCTCTCCAAAAGTGAGGCAGATATAGAATTTAAACTAATAATAAGTAAACAGTATATATATATATTTCATATATTTTAATATATCTATTTATTTATTTTTTCTTTTAGGAATATGTCTACTAAGTAGGTATTACGGCATTACGGCATTACGGCATTACGGCATTAATGGCACTGTACAATGTAACATCCACTTTTCACTATTTATTTTTTGAGTCCCATATGCACAATTCAAGATTCCGTGCTACTACTGAGATTTTTTTAAGAAACACTAATGCTTTGCCCTATCCGGGAATCGAACCCGAGACCTCTTGCAGGGCGCAACGTTATACTTCAACGGCATACTTCAGGGCGCAACGTTTCACGGGTTCGGTTCTCGCATATAACGTCCCAACGTGCGATGAAGACCTTTATCAAGAATAATTTATTCAATTCCAATAATATTTGTTCCAGAGAGCCCAACACAGAAGATGCGTCGCAGCTGGATCTGGTCGTATTTCGATCGCGTATCGAGTACACAGGCACGCTGCAAGCTCTGCGACCGACACATCTGTCATGGCGGCAACGCTACCGGCAACATGAACCGACATCTCAAGATGATACACCACAAGACTGCCTGTGATATGCCTTGTAAGTATATTTTCATATGAAATTTATGTTTTTAGAGAGAAGACTGTGTCTCCGAATCGATCTTCTGTTGCCTTGAAGGGGTAGGCTAAATAAAACATGAAATGTAACACCAAACATTGCCAGTTATCTTATGACTTCTATGTAATACGGTAGATGGGTGTGAGTCCCTTTCCTACCTAATCTACCTGAGAATTTTGAAAAACATAAACGTTTCTTGATTCAAACATAATTCTATAAGCCCCGGGTTGGGGATCGGCCGGGGTTGCGGATAAAGCGTAAGTTATTGAGCCCCTGGCTTAGACCAGGAGTTGGACAATCTCAGAACTAAAAAACGCTTGCATTGGCATGTATTGCATGGCATAAATTGACTGCCTCATTGGCCGAGTGGTCGCAATTGCGACTGCCGGGCAAGGGGTCTCGGGTTCGATTCCCGGGTTGGGCAAAATATTATTGGGTTTGTAAAAACCTCAGTAGTAGCACGGTGTCTGGAAATGTGGCAATAGGCACCCCCTATTACATGGGACGTATAACATAAATAGTGAAAAGTGGGTGTTACATTGTACAGTGGCATTAAGTGCCGTAATGTGCATCCCTGCGTGATGTTATGTTATGTTAAAAAAGCTTCTTGACTGGACCGTTGCGCTTGTCACTCGAACAATGAGGTAGTCGGAATATACTAAAGTATTAATAGTTGGTTCTATTGCAATTTTTATGTTCAATTTGTTCAAATATTTAGAGCATTAAATTGTGAAGTTCCTTTTCAATTTTACAAATAATTGAATCTCAAATACAAAAATCTATGTTCCAGGTGACCAGAGCTGGGTGTGGAAGGTGTTCGAAGCGATCGACAACGACTTTTACAGCTGCAAAATATGTCAGTACAAGTGTCTGAAGTGTAGTGATATAGACAAGAGTATGGCTGGTATACTCAACCATCTAAAGTTAGAACACGGTGTAGTTTCTGGTGACCAGATCATCACCGGAGCAGACGTAGAAACTGAAGAGACTTGCTGAGATACCCTTCCAGCCCAGTTAAACTACATACTTATTAAAAACATTGTGTGATTTGGTTGAAGTAGTTGCTGGAATTTAACTGGGTTTTCTATAAGTGACTGTGTGATTTACGGTTCTTGTTTCAAGTTACAAATATTTGGTGTTGACATCGCGTTTCCCGAAAGGACAGCAGATATAGATAAACTATTAAGCACGGACTTTGATTCAGAAATTAAGCTTAATAGTTAATAGGGATACTGTGTCAAGTTCACGGTTTCTTAACGAAACATGATATGTAAATTTTGTACAGTGTCACGTAATTTAGTTAATTTTAATAATGATAGCTTCCATGTTCTTGTTTTAGATATTGTAAAACATAAGCTGTAACCATTTGAACGCCACATTTATGTCGTAATCCAAAATGTGCTCATGTGAGTGTGACAAATTTTTTGTCGTAAATAATATCGTAAAACGTAGGCGTTTGATTATCGATCGTCTTTTGTTAACTCGTTCATTGTTTCTTGTTTAAAAGTGAACCGCATTCTTTTGATTACATTCATAGATTAATTTCCAATTTCATATGAATTGTATGAAAAGCCCTCCATGCTAGATTTCTGTTTCCTATTTCACATGACAATCGTAAGGTTTAAATTATGTGTATATCAAACTTTTTAACACCAATTGGCTAGTAATTCATTGTATATGCTGATAAGGCTGTTTTTTATTTGAATCAATCATTTAAAATATTATTCAGATAATGTGACAGCTAAGCTGATTGGGATAAAACGTCCTACGCTTCTAGCGCCATCTCGCGAGTGCAAAATCAAAAACTCTCATTTAAAAGCTCGAAGCTGTTATTATGATTATATTTTTGGCCTTTCTCTAGGTTATATTACCTTAAGTATAGCCTTCTCCTTCGGGAATTAAAAGGCGTGATGTTATATGTGTAGATCCAGCATTTATTTAGGTTTTATTGGAGTATATTATATGCAGGGTTATTTTATTTATAAAAATTGTAGGGTTGGACCCTACTACATGGAATGTTATATATGGGGCTTTGTCGTGTATTGTATTAATAAAATAAGCCTATAATAATAACTCCAGTAAAATCTTTCAATGTAATGTTTAAACATAAGTTGATTTTAGTATATTTAGGTTTAAACATACCTGCTATATTTTTATATCTAGTAAAATATAGTTTTATTTTTAATCTAGCATATTATGTAACTATAGTTGTTTATATATAATTAGCATTCATTTTCCTTTGGTTTTCAGTGTGTACAAAGTTTTAAAATAATTCATAGGTATGGTAAAATATTATCATTGTTTTAAAAATCATAAGTTTATATTTTATTATGCATCTTGAACTACTGGGTGCGTAAATTTTAGCACATTATATTTATACATTATATTATTATGTTACTCAAAATTCGATGGTGTGTCTCCACCTTTAAAGTTTATATGAAATTGTGATTATACCTACTTTAAAAAACTATGTAACTCAAATATGTAAATTCAGTATGTCATATATTTAATCACATGGTAGTCATAGTAAAATACTGTATCTGGTTTTAAAATCATATAAAAAATTATCATCACCGATTTAAACGCTAGTTTCTGCAACTACTAGGTGGCGCTTCTATAGAATGATGTCCTATTGGTTTAATCAAAAGAAAGTGTTGGTTGCAATGCCCCTAGTAGGTAAATTGAACCTTAATAGTGGTCTCTCTCTATAGAACAGTGTAAATGATAATATAATCTAATATTTTTTACTATAAAATCACAATATTTGTAACCTTATCAAATGCACCACGAATTATAATATATGTAGCATTTTTAGTGCTGTCATTGTATGGGACAGTCCAATCAATATTTTAAAAGTACTTTTACAATATTCTGCAAAATTCGTAAAGTATTTGGCTAAAATACTTGTAGCATCTTGTTATTACAAAATCATTTTTTTACTTGAATATGTGTGTGGAATTTTTTGGTAATGCTAATTATTTTCATACTTGTAACAATTGATTACAGTTATAAAATGTTCTTATTGGTACTCAAGAAAAAAAAGTTATGTTATTTTTGGAATGAGTAGTTTTCAACCTTCTTGCAGAATTAAAAAAAATCTATTTATATTATCTGTGCATAAAATTTCCGCGGTTTTATCATAAATTCTCCCGTATTCTAATACTTTACAAAGTAAAATAAATTGTAAGGAAAGTAGTCCTTTTGATTTAAAAAGTAATAGCATTTTGTCCTCTGTATAAAATAATGCAAAATTAGTTTTATTTTTATATCAATAAGGTAGGTTTTTGGGAACCTAGTATTAATTTAGTTTTTTTTTGTTAACGGCTATTGGTAGCACAGGTTTTTTCTCTAGGTTATGTATTAAATAAAATATAGTTTGTGTACATATTTTAAAGCTTAAAAATAAACATGGGCAGAATACTATGGAGTTGTAATTTTAGATTGATAAGTGTTTTTATTGATTTAATTTTTAAAATTCGGTTTTGTTTTTCTTTTATATATGTTTTGTTTGTTATAATTTTTCTTTTTACCTATTTCCAGGTCCCTGTTGCTTAGTGCAGTGTGTTCATTAATATGCGTTTTCTGTACAGTTTTGATTTGAAACTTACATCTATTTTTTTTCTTTCTGCACTATGGCGATCTGTTCGAAATCAATAACCCACTTGTTTGGTTGGAGCTACATGTCCTGGCTATTTTAATTCTCTTCTTCAAGAGCCAATCAATTGTTTACCTATCCAGAAAACCCTCCTATTGGCTCAGCTTTACTTACACCTTATAAAATACTTTTCTAGTGATAAAATTCATCTGCATTATTATAGTGCATGTATAATATTCAGTCGAAGAAGATTGACGTGGTTTTAGCCTTGCTTTGTGTGGTACCTAATAAATTAGTAAGATTAAATAGTAATTAACAAATATGTGCCGGTGCAAATTTTGCAAAATTACCTTATATTTATTTTTCTTATTTAATTGTTTGTTAAATCTATGTCATGAAAGAATTTTAAGTATTTATTTATAACCGTGAGGGGTAGGAAAAAATAAAAATAACAATTATGACTAGTTTTTATTCTCTTGCAAACATCGAATTACATCAAGATACATCTACACAATTTGGCAAGTATTCACTACCGGTAGTAAACGCACACAACCATGCAGACATTATATGTTATAATACATAATAATATATATATATAATTTATAATTACTAAGAGGTAACCAATTACATAGGCATCTGTAATACACATTAAATTCTTTTAAAAACTTAATTTTATGTTAACTATACTGATATTCTTTTATCCCAGTCAAATTAAATAATGATATGGATATTTTATAGTATTCCAGATTTTTTCAATCTTATTATTGTCACTTTATTTATAAAAACAACAGAATGACGGTTTCAATTCATGTCTGACAATTATATTCTTTAATTTATATATGTATATATTTTAAATACTTTTAATCGGTTCAATGATTAAAAATAGTTGTCAAAGTTACAATTTGGCAAGAAGGATGGTAATATTAATATCTAATTTACAAACAGCTGCATAAAAATATATTTCCTAATAAATAACTTTAAATCCTTATGGATTGTGATATTTACATAATTTTAATTTTCCTGTGAACTTGATAAATTGCTTAGACAACAAACCCTGTATTGTGATCCTATATAACATGCCCTTGGAACAAAATTTTGTGTAATTCTAGAGTCAATGTTATTTTTTAATATATATAATAATGAAATTCTTGCACATAATATTTCTCATACATTACATTATTTTGTCACTTCTTTATTTGGCCATACAATATTTTGTAGTATATACTGTCAAAGTTCTCTAAAAAGACGTATTCTATAAATTTAAAGTATTTCTGAGCACATTACAATAAGGGTGAAAATACTTGTGTGCCTTTTATAAATTCACACACATTTAAAATATTAATTTACTTTGTTGTATACATTTATATTATATACAAAAGGACATGTACTGGCTCGTTCACCCTACTAACAATCTAGCACTAACCATCTATGAGGTAAAATTTTCTTATATACTAACTTATGTGCTAAATGATTTTTTGCCCGCGAAACATAATCCGGTTTCTTAAAGGACGGTAACTATACATTACACCAAAATAAATAACATATATAGGTATGTATACAATATACTTTCCACATTTTGTAATTTGAGCTTTTGTTTCGTTTTTTTATATTTTCTTTTAAATGATTAGGTAGCGTCCATTAACTATGTGAGATGTTTTGGGTGTGGTAGAAGTTATCACATACCAACTTAAATTCTAAAGTATATTCTAAAGTTCCTCAATTTCAGAACGTTTTTTTGAGTTTCCTAAATTTTAAATCGATAGAATATAATATTTTTTTTATTAGCACACGAATGGAAGTGATACTTTTGTTACAATATAAAATTTTATTCGTATTTAGGGGACCTAAAAAGTCTAGAAAATAACACCACTTAATTAATAGACGCTCCTTACCTATAAATATCTGTTTTTCTAAATAAACATGTTTTATTTACACTTATCAAATAATTGTTGATATTTTTATTATCAATTTTCTTTACAGTTTGCGGTATTTTGTACTATATTTTCCATTTTTCTGCATTTGAAAATAATATAAAATTTCAAAATATAGATTATGTATTCCCATTTTAAAAATAGATTCGAAATCGAATACAATAGGGTATTAAAAAAAAATTCGTTTATAACGTTTTTTTTTTATAAAATGAGCTTGTTACAATAAATTCGAGTAAGAAATAAAATAGATCACGATTTTTGTAGTTTTTTTTTTATTTTTAAGTAGGCGGTTTTGGGCCACAATTGTGGGTGCTTTGTATGTAGACGATTCTTCCTCGGTACGTGTGGAGAGCTGCCTTGCACCAAGGCCCTCGGGAGCATCTCCAGCGTATCTTCCCGTTCCTGGCGCATCCATTAAACCTGAACCTGTAGCCACCGACGTTAATACCCATCTTCCCCTGCTTGCTGAG